TCAATGAAGAAGGAAACTGGAAATACATCCCCCCAAGGAGCATGCATCAGGAACAGCAAGCCTTTCCGATAAAAATGCTAAATGGGCTTGGTCTTTTTTTTTTCTTTCCTAGGGAGTGCTTGGCAAATGGACAGCGGGTGCCGGAGGCAGCAGCAAAGAGGGTTGGAGATGGAATGGGAGCTATGGGGGAAGTCATTTGTTCTTCCTAACTGGGCCGTGGGGATCTGCAGGTGTTTACTTACACACCGAGGGAGGCTGGACTAGAGTATCAGGGAGAAGCGACTTAAGAGACAACGGTTTTGTTCTGGCTGGTGGTCCGAGGGCGCAGTCCATTACAGGGGAAGGTGTGGCAGGAGTGGCCCTCACTGTGGCTGCAGAAATAGAACGAGCAGACAAAACCCTCTTTCTGTTCCTACGAGACTAAGGAGGGTTGATAAGCTGTAGAGTGAGTGGCCCTCTGATGAAGCTGGGTATCACTCCTCACCGGTCCCCTCTTTGACCACGCCTTTCTCTGGCACTCTCCTCTTCCCAGAGTGCCACGTCCTTAGCTCTCCCAAGGTGAAGGGCAGGGAATGGGAGGAAATCAGGGACTCTTTACTGCAGTAACCTGGGACACTTGCCCAGAATGACACACGTACCCCTCATGCATTTGCATTCACACTGACTGTTATTAGTATCAAATCCAGACACAGAGACACCAGCAGGGGTCCCCAAACCTTCCCTTACATGTTTAAATGACCACAACGGTCTGGTCAGCCCACTATGCATTCTGTCAGTGTCGCCCAGTCTCTGCCACAAAGGCACTGGGGCTTTGAGCTTCCCCTTTCCTTCAGCATAGTCAGAGCCCTGCCCATTAGTTTAATATTATTTTTTTATTTACATTAGTGAGGTCCATCCCTATGTGGCTACAACCTTTCACGTTTATGCCTCCCATTGTTTGTCTGAGACGTTTAATATGGGCCCCCTTTCTCCCTCTTGTAGGTGTGTAAAAACAGAGATCACCTTCTTCAGGTGATGTAATAGGGTTATGTTTATTTTTTTTAGGACAAAGGCTTGGGTATGAAATTCGTGCTTAGGACTTCAGAATTCCTAAGCGTTCTGGGATCTCTCATTTATTTCTAAATTGTGTGGTACACTGGCAGATACTATGTGGAGTCCACTAAATCCCTCCTTTTCTTCCAGGGGTAGCAAACTGTAGCGAAGCAGATAGCACTCCAGGTCCCAGCCATGCAAGTGTGCCCATGGAGGACAGGCTATGTGGAGAACTTTGATCACACATGCTTCTCCGTACCTGTCCCGCCCTCATATGCTGGAGCACGTGGTTGCAGCCCTGATTAACCCACACTGGGAAAACCATAAATATGCAGAGGATAATGGGAAACCGGTGAAAGGGACAGCCTGAATGACGACCAGTGTGCCTAGCCATTTAGTAATTAACATCTGCTTCCCAAAAGCACTTTAGTGCTGACTGCCTCTGCTATATCAGCCGTACGCTTCACCTAGACTCCCATCTTCTGCTGACTCCCTGGTTTCCCATGTGAGCCGTAGGCTCTGGAACAGACCTCGGAAGAGCCGGTGTGCATGCAATTGTTTTCTCCAGGTGGAGGGATGGGGTTGCACTCATTTAGAACCATGCTGTTCGTCCCATCACTCCTGCTCAGGGCCCAGCAGAAATTTGTATGGAGTGAAGGGGTGCAGCTGAGGCCATATGGCAGACTTTTCCCTTTGAAGTCCATCAATGCTTTCAAATCTCCAGCCACTCGAGTACAAGGACTGCGAGGGAACACAACACATAGGCATTGTGGGTCTGCCCCTAGTTCTGGCATACAAACGCTGGGATCCTCAGATCGGTTGTTTCTTTTGTATTCTCCTATGTGTGGCTAGGGCCTCCAGGGCGCTTCCAAGTGGCACTGGCCACCAGGGAGGTCAATGCAGTCTAAAGGGAAGGGGCTTTTCAATCCTGCTCCAAGCCCTGACAGGAGGAGAGTTGATCACAGGTGGCTAGTGGTGTCCTTGGTCATGGCTGTATAATGAAGCCTCCATAGCAACCCAGAGGATGGGTGCAGATGGGCTTCCCAGAGCTGCCTAGTGAAGTTTTGCCCGAGGGCTCTGCCTTGGAAAGGGCAGGGAGGCGGAGCGCTCCTCCCTTCAGGCCACATCCTACTCATCTCTTCCACCACGTGCCCATCTGTACCCTTTGCAGTTTCCTCTGCAATAACGCGGTAAGCGGAAGCAGAACGGCTCCCCGGGTTCTGTGAGCAGCTGTACCAAATTAATCTCACCTAGCAGGGTATCAGGGATGCTCTGGTTTAGAGACCATTGTGCACTTCAGCTCCTTTTTGTGCTGTGCCGTTACCTGAAATGCGTGGAGGGGGGTTGTCTAGTGAGCCCCTAACCTGTGGGATCTGATGTCACCTCCAGGTAAGACGGCACCAAACTGAATCAAGCCAGATGCCACTCTTAACTGGAGAGAGCCGTTTCTGTTTCATTTTAGTTCATAAAAATCCAATAGCCTGTTTCTCTAACCACTTTCTGCCCTGGCCCATAAAAAGGACAAACTGATAGGAAGCAGGTGCCCAGCCCATCTGAAATAATTACGGTTTCCAAATCCCAGCGCCTGCCATGGACCAGGCCTTCTGTGGGCTCTAGCCTATAAATCTGTAGTTTCTATTTGTTTCTGTTGTTGGGTTTGGGGATGGAAGCTAGGACCTTGGGGTTGCTAGCCAATCACACTTCCACCAGTGACGCCTCACCCTTCTCTTGCTCTTCACCGAGGCTTTGTACCTGGGGAGATTCCCTTTATTTCCAAGATGAGGGGCATGAGGTCAGGGGCCTCCATTACTTATTCAGAGTGATGCAGAGAGTGAGAAGCCCCGGGATGCAGACCGTGGACGTATCTGGAGCACTTCCTCCACGCTACACATGACATTTCTGTAGGACTCAGTCCTGAGTGCAGGGTGACGCCCCTCCCAACTACAGAGGCTGAGGATGGTGGTGCCCACTGCCTGAGCCTGGGGAGCTCAGCCCTGAACTCAGTCCCAAACAGCCTGTTCTGTGAGCTGTGCGGGCGGAAAAACCTCACAAAGTGTTCAGAAGTAGGAGAAATGGACCTAGATTCCCATTGTTCATTTTAATGCTCACAACATTCTTGGGACTTGGCTGGGTTTTGCTTTTAAGATTTATTTATTTTTATTGATGCGTGTGAGTTGCAGGCATGTGTGTCCCCTGCAAGAGCAGTAAGTACCCTTCCTAGCTGAGCAATGCATAGCGTATCCCCTGTAAGTACCCTTCCTAGCTGCGCAATGCATTGCTCCGGCCTGGAACCTTTACTCTGCTTTCACTCCGGCTGTGGACACCAAGGTTGAAAACGAAAAGGCAGAAGCGGGTGAGACAGCTCAGGGGGTAAAGGTGCTGTCACCAAGCCTGACAACTCAGCTTCATTACCTAGACCCATGTGGTAGAAGGAGATGCCTGACTCCCCCAAAGTGTCCTCTAACTCCCACACGCCTGCTGTGTTCGCCTCCCCTAACACATACACACTCATAAGTGCCAAAAAATAGGAAAAAGGGTGATAGTTTTTTTGGATTCATTAAAATTATGACAATATCCTTGGGTTCTACATGCATGGAGTCAACTACCCAGGGACGGAAAATATTTGAAAAAAAAAATCCTTTGTACTAACTATGTACAGGTCTCTCTCTGTCATTCTTTTTTTTAATGCAGTATGTTGTGTACTTGTACAGTATGTGCATCATCTACAATTGATTCAAAATATCCAGGAGGGTGTGCATTGGTTCTATGAATATTGCAGCACTTTATAGAAGAGACAGAGCATCTCTAAAATGTAGCTATCTATAGGGAATTGGTTCCTTAGAGGGCGTGGCTTTGTCTCTCACGTCTGAGGCTTCTTCCACATGGCCCAGGCACCTTCATGGGGTGGGAAGCAGTTATTCCTGTGACTCAGGGTTTCTTTCTCTTCCTCAGGCCTTGACAGAAAAAATAAATAAATCATGTGCATAGCTGCTCTGACATCACAGATCCTGGAAATCCCAGGACCTGGCTAACTTGTGGGCCGAAGAAAATGAGACATAAATGAATGATTCCAAAGGGGAGCAGGACTTGCCCCGCGAGCCTTAGTGAAGGACACTAGCACTTAGCATTGACTCCCACTCTCAGGAAGTGGAGGTCCCCTAAAGTACGAGTGACTCCGAGCCTACGGTGGAGGTGGCCAACTGCTGTGAGAATTAAGACAAGCTGCTCATTGGCTCAGCAGAACCATGGTGTAAAACAACAACAGCCTCTGCACCAAGACACCTATGGCTCCAACAGTCTCTAGCTGTCACCTCGGTGTCACATCCACTTCAGCCTTGCTGGTAACTCACAGGCTGTCCACATCAGGGAGGCCATTGTGCCTTTGGAGTTGCTATAGCTATGAAGTGTTTCCCCCTGGTTCTGATGCTGCAACTTCACACCCGTGTGATAGTGTTAGGAGATGGGGCCATGGGGAGGTGATTTGCTCATGAGGGCCCCACTCTCCTGAATAGGATTAGCATCTTTATTCCGTTTTTTTCAAATGTAGAGAACAAGAGAGAAAGACAGCTAATGTCAATCTTCGCATGCACGCTCACACACACATACACACGTATGCATACGTAAGTGAACGCACACGATCATGCCTGCATACATATACACCACACACCGTGTGCACACGCGCGCGCACACACAAGAAACCTCCCTCCCCTTCAGCTTCTTCCATGTGGTGACACAGCAATAAGGTACCTTCTGTGACTGAAGAGAGTGGTCCTTGCTAGACACTATATCTGCTGCTTCCTTATCTTAGACCTCTCAGCTTCTAGAACCCTAAAACCTGTATTTACATGGTCTGTAAACCAGTTAAAGGTGTAGTCTGAACAGCCTGATAGGTAGGTATTGGGTACAAGATTCCAGGCTTATAGTGACTTTGATACAAAAAAAAAGTTTTGGCAAAAACATGATTTTATACACTGAAAGAGCCATAATACTTTATTTAAAATATATACAAAATTATTACTTTGAAACATATATATTACTATCCAACATATATATCATATAACACACATTGATGAAAATTTTGGTACCTTCATTCAGTTTTGTGATTTCTCATTTTTTCAAGGTTTCTGAATAAAAACTCTCTAAAATACCACTGGAGGGGAGATACCCATAGGCTTGCCCCCCTACAGTAGTCTGACAATTCTCTTGGGCACCACCGGGCCCTATGAACCCGTGGAAGCCGAGGCCAGCCTAGCCTTGCTGGGACCCTGGGAGAGCCATAGGATTGGTGGCACCAGCCTTGATAAGCTACACACCAATCCCACTTTTTCTTTCTTTCCCTCTTGGTTGACGGAAACTGGTCAATCGATTTCTTGACAGACCCTCCCCTGGGCTGAGGTTGACGTAAGCTACGTTCTTGTCACACCTCAACTTCCTTCACTCCACTGCAGGAAGAGGGTGAGAAAGGAGGGGGTTGGCCTCTGAGTATAACTTGGGAAGAGATAAGAAATGAAGCCAACTGGAACTTCTGTGCTCTTGGGCTGAGTTCTCATACTCCTGAGAGAAATCAGACGGGATGCATTCCAGCCTTTTTTTTTTTTTACACTATCACTTGTACACTTGTACAGCACGTTTCATCCAATAGGCACTTACTTAATAGATGCCCATTGTATGGACGGATAAATGAATATGAGGGATCTGGTGATTCCAGGCAGAAAACATCCAGTTTAAGGGGACTTATCTCTCCTCTGCCTTTCGGCTACCATCAAGTTTAGAACCAAGGGGACTGAAGTCACACAGACTTGTTTCCTCCTTTGACAAATGGGTAAACTGAGGCTGACAGAAGATGAAATGAACGAGATTACTGACTGGTCCCTGATAGAGTCAGACCTGGAATCACATTTTCTTACTTTCTCCCTCTCTTCAGGTCTGACTTTGTAAAGAGAGCTCAGTGGACCCACTGCTGTGTCCTAAAGGTGCAGAATTCACCTTGCTACACCAGAAGCTCTTGGTTATATGGGTGGCCACGAGCATAGTGTCCAAGCAGAGGGCACAAGCCAAATGTCCCCTCTAAGGAGCTTCACCCCCAGGATCGGGTCCTGGGTAAGAGGATTTGACAGCAGCAGTGGACATGAGTGAGGTAGGAGGAACAGAGATGGGTGGGTGTAAGCCCAGCTTTGGGGAGGGGGTGTCTGTTCTGTCCCTGCAGCGATTCTGGTGCTGATGTGGATTTGGTGCCTCCCGAGGCTCTGGGTGGTCCAGAGGAGATGTGTAAACAAAGCCACGCCGCTGGCTGCTTCTGAGAGCAAGTCACTACAGATTCTTGTCCAGTAGACGAGTAACACTAGGTATGTTCTTAGCACACTGGAAAGGGTGAAAACAAAGTGGCCAAAAACCGGACAGGAACAGAGGAACAGAGACTGTCAAGCTGGACAAATGTGGAAGGGGCAGGCACATGCCCAAGTATCCAGTCCATTTTGAGATTTGGGCCTCTCTCTCTCCTTTCTCCTCTCTTCTCTCTCTCTCTCTCTCTTACACACACACACACACACACACACACACACACACACACACACACACACACACACACACACCCTGCCACACTGGAGACCTCAAGAACATCCCTATGTGATTTCCATTTCTCCCCAGAAAGGTTAAGTGGATAAATAAGTTTGTCATGATCAGAAACACACAGTTGAACATTATGGAGACCTCGGTGCCATACCCAGGCCCTGCAGATACAGCTGTGAGGAATATTGACATCAGAGTGAACAACGGCACCACCATCTGCCCCCGGGGGCTTCTCCTGAGCATGGGGGGGGTGCTGGGATGAAAGGGATGTGCTCTTTTGATAGACCCTCTTCTTGCCCTTTACTTTCTGCTTCCCTCATCCCCTCTCGCTTTCTGGCCAGCTCCTGTAAGCCCCGATTCCCATTAGAACTATATATGGATTTTCTGAGAGAAAAATAATAATACTTCATCTTATGGAAATCAGAAAGTTGAAAGCCACAGATCACCTGGTAACAAATGAGTACCTTTGTGCTTGTGTAATCACCACACAATGCAGACAACTAAAAGCTAGAGAGCAGAGTCCGCGCCGAGACCCTTTAGAGTGGTCTGCTGGCCGGCTCTGACCTGCTCCCTAGACCGCGGATTGGTTTTCGTTGCACACGTAGACGGTGCTCGGCTGGATTCTCCTCTGGATCCGCTCAGGCACTTTAGGGAGGATTTGGAAAGTTTGGGGAAGCAACTCTATGCAGGCCTCGCGGAATTTCTTGATCCTCCAGCAGTAGACGATGGGGTTGAAGACGGACTTGAGGTAACTGAACCACAGTACACACGTGCTGGTGGCGTAGAAGGAGGCGCTGTAATAGAACCGCCGACTGAATGCAGACAGCAGGCTGTACACCGAGTGGGGCAGCCAGCACAGCGAAAAGCCCACGAAGAGGATGAGGATGGTGGTGAAGGCCTTGGTTTTGAAGCTCAGGTCCAGGCTGACCTGCTGCTGCTGCCGCCGGAGCCGTCTCAGGCCAGCCCTGGACAGCTGTTTGAGGTCCAGGCTGTCTGACTGGTTACGCACGCGGACGGCGTTCTTCCGCACCGTGTTGAGGATACACAGATAGGAGCACAGCATGACGCCAAAGGGCGCGAAGAACACCGCCACCACCAGCATCACCACGTAGGCGCGTTCGGCTGGGAACTCAGTGTAGCCCAGAACGCACTGTGGGGCTCGAGCCGGCACCTCCATGAACGTCCAGCCGGTGAAGGAGGGGGCAGAGATGCAGAAAGACAGCACCCAGGAGGCTGCGATGATCACCTTGGCCCTGCGTGGGTTCAGCTTGTCCTGACGCTGCACGATGATGAGAAAGCGGTCCACGCTAATGATGAGCAGGATGGCCACGCCCTCTAGGACAAAAAACCAATAGAGTGTAGCTGAGAGTCGACAAAAGTGGTCCCCAAAGTGCCAGCGGACAGTGATGAGGGTGATGGCGGTGAAAGGCATGCAGCATAAGGACAGCATGATGTCAGAGAAGGCCAAGGTGGCCAGCAGCAGGTTGATGGCTGAACGCATGGACGGCCTCTGATACACGATGATGCAGACCACCGTGTTGCCGAGGAATCCTACCACGATCATCAGCAGCATCGTTATTGCCAGCGAGATCCTGAGCGGTGCGGACAGTGGGGTGGCCCCAGGGTCCGAAGCGTTGCTCGCATTCAGCAGCAGATGTTCGTTAGTACCGATGGATGTGCTGTTACAGGCCATCGTGAAGAGAAACTTGGGACCTGAACAGACGTGGCTGCAAGGGCACCCCTCAGCGCTTGGGTGGCTTTCATTTTCCGTCTGCTGTCTGTTGCATCTTTTCATTTGATGGTGAAAGGCTCTCAAATCGTTGGGAGAAATCTTTCTTTGGAGTGGCCAGCTGGGTTATGTGACTCATCACTCACATTCTTGTCCTGTCTCCCTGGCAGCCCCGTGTTTGCACAGCTCCCTAGTAAGACACTGCAGCCTAGAGCAAGAAGGCAGAGAGAAAAGGGTCAGATATTGGAAACCTGGTGGAATGGAACATGGTCTAAATTTTACAGGCACTGGTGGTCTAATATGTGAGGGTTTCACGTCTATGCATCCAGCCAACCAAGCCAGGAAATATTCAGAAAACTCCATCGGCGTCTGAACTGAACATACGCAGATCTTCCTGCCACAGTTCTCTAAACAATACAATGATCTGCATACCTCTTTCCTCACAGCGTGTCATACATAATCTGAAGATGAATTATAGTATTATATGCAGACACCTCACATCCTCTATAAGGGAAATGAGAATCCAGAAATGTTAGTCTGCAAGGAAGTGTTGGGATCAATTCCTTGTGAATTCCCAGGGACAGGCAGCAGAGAGAAGATCATTTAGTTCTGACTTAGGACAGAGGTTGGTATTTACAAAGGTTGAGTCTTGTCAAGCAGTTCAGGAAACCCAAGTAGCTACCTATCCTTTGGGCACTTGGAAAGTCTGCCTTGTGGGTACTTTGGAATTACCATTTATGTAGTTTGAATGGATTTTTTTATGAAAAAAAAATCAGTGCAATGGGACCTTGCTTTGGAATGCTGGCTTCAATCAGGGAGGACTCATGCTTGCTTTAGTCTGTGTGTCCTCAGCACCTAGGACAGCGCCCGGCAGACAGGAAGGCGGTACTTCCTGGTTCCTTGATGAAGAGATGATTAGTTTTTTTTTATACTGTGACCTTGATATTTATTTCCTCTTTTAAAAAGATTGCAGACTATCCTTTGTTCAGATGTTTTTATCTGCAGAGTTAAAAGTGGAAATTTTATCTTTTAAAAAAGATTTAGTTTATAAACAATCATATTTTACATGTCAATCCCAGTTCCCTCTCCTTTTCATCTTCCCATACCCCCTACGGACTCCCCCATCCCACTCCCATCCAATCCCCAAGGAGGATGAGGCCTTAAAATGGGGGAATCATCAAAGTCTGTCACATCATTTAGGGGAGGGCCTAGGCCCTCCTCCGTGTATCTGGGTGGAGTATCCCTCCTTGGGGAATGGGCTTCCAAAGACCATTAGTGCACTAGAGATAAACACTTGTTTCGCTGTCAGAGGTCCCATAGACTGCCCAGACTTCCTAACTGGCACCCACATTCAGAGGACTTAACAGTGGAAATTTTTAAAAAGGGAAATTTTATTATGAAAAACATCACACAGCGAAATTAACCAGACCCAAAGTCTATAAGCTAAGTCTTAACTTAGGAAACAACAACGCCTTCTTGAAGTGTGAATGGCATGTGAACAGGTGCATGTGTTTACATCTCAACAGTGCCAGGGACAAGTGTGTACCTGGAAGCCATCGCCACCATCAAGGCCATAAACACATCCATCATTCTGAAAGTTGGCCTTCTACCCTCTTTACTGCGATCTCCCTTTGGAGAAAAAAAAACATTTTAGCATTTTAGATGTGTTTTTACTAAAAACTTTAAGTACATTTGTTTAACTTTGAGACAGGTGTAAACTCACATGGAGTCATAAGCAAACAGTGACTTTGTGCACGTCCCTTGCCTTGTTTCTCTGGCAGGAACATTTCAGATGGGTGCAAAGCTTCTATAAGATTCTTCTCAGAGACACTGAGAAGGAGGGCGGTTCTTAAAACAGTGTTAATCTTTATTTCTCTTCTTAGAGACGTGGCAGGAATCATGTCCAGGAGCCAAGGTCTACAGTCAAATGTCTTTGCTGGGTGAAATGGATCGTCCCCTGTGTATCCATCAATTCCCTGGGTATCCTCACTCACCAGTTCCTTTTGTTGGACTCCCTCATCTAGAACGCAACAGGCTCAGGCACAGAGTAGCTGTGCATATCACAGATTCATGTCACCACACCTGGATGGAAGGAGGCTCTCTGGAGGTGGTACTGTTATCATTTAAACACCGAGGCAAGCCGGTTACATTGCTACAATGACTGCTGTTTCATGGACTCCGTAGAGTCATGTGCACGTATTTGCATGTGGAATAGACCTGATAGCAGCATGTTTTTTGAAGTTCACTGTGTCCACTGCAGCTGATTGCACCAGGAGGAGGCCCCAGGAATCTATTCTAGAGCCTGACCGTGATAAAGCAGACCCAAGGCACTCAGTTGGAAATAGGAACTAGGAACTCACAGCAGCTACAGCTGCTGAGAGAGATGGCAGAGTTGTATGTGGATGAGTCCATAAGATGTGCTGGAGGCTCTCTTGTTCCCTCCACATTCCCTGCCCTCTCCATCCAGCCCTTACCAGGGAGGATGGGCCCTAGTCCATGAAGAGGGGTGGGAAACGAGCTCTATTCTGCCCCAGCTTCCCTTTGCCTGGTTGTGGTTGATACTCCTGCAAAACCCCAGCTGCTGGGGACAGCTGTGCTCTACACCTGCAACCTGGCCCTCTTTGAGGGTTCCCCATGTGTTTCCTGTCTCCTGAAGGCCTCCTTCACTTCCCTTATCCTAGCCCACCTTCAACGAGGAACTCTCTATTAGAACTCTTGGTGTATCTGTTTTCAGCACCCTGCCACAGGTCATCCAAACAGAAGTTACCAGGTAGCAGAAAGTAAGAATGAGCAGATAGTATAGGCAAAGGTGTGTGTGTGTGTGTGTGTGTGTGTGTGTGTGTGTGTGTGTGTGTGGTTTTCAAACAGTTACATTTCCCTATGTACCTTGGTAGTATTTACTTCTCCAACTGTGTATAATGGATGCTTTAACCTTTCATTTTTATACTGGCATCCTTGCCAATCCCCCTTAAACAGCTACTCCCAACAGTTTCTAGCATGAGTTATACTCCACAATGCTGGAGGACAAGCTCTCATCTTGGTTCCTGACTTACTCACTTTAAACACTGTTATTCTCACCACAGTATGCCAAGGTTGAGTTTGTCTTATTACCTCACTGTGGTGGTTTGAATAAAAATGTCCCCCATAAATTCATAGGTAGTGGCACTATTTGGAGTTGTGGCCTTGTAAGTGTGGCTTTGTTGGAGGAAGTAGGCTTTGATGTTTCAAATGCTCAAGCCAGGCCCAGAGGTTCTCTCTCTTCCTGCTCCCTGTGGATCCAGATGTAGAACTCTCAGCTCCTTCAGCACCATGTCTGCCTGCATGCTGCCATGCTTCCCACCATGATGATAATGGACTGAACCTCTGAAACTGTAAGCCAGCCCCAGTTAAATGGTTTCTCTTATAAGGGTTGCTGTGGTCATGGTGTCTCTTCACAGAAATTAAATCCTAACTAAAACACTACTGACCTCTCCACTTAATGATTGATGAGTGTTTTGAAGTCATCTGAGAAGCATTGTGACTACAAGAAGACAATCTCTGCATGATACTCCACTGAGAATGGACAGTATTCATTTTGTCTCTACCATATAAGATGCACAGTTAGTACCTCTTATCTTTACCCACATTCTCTCTTTTACATCTATTTGACCATCAGGTATATTTTTATTTTTATCTAATTAATGTCACCTATTTATCACCTGTAGCTCAATCTTCTGTGATACTTTTATAAGGAGACTTTAATAATTTAACCCCCAATAAAGCTATTTACATTCTTTATATTTTATTTAAATTAGAAACAAGCTTTCATGATATGTCAATCCCAGCTCCCTCTCCCTCCCACTCTCCCCTGCCACCCACCAACGCCCCAACCCCCCACCCAATATCCGTTCCACAGGGAGGGTGAGGCCCTCCATGGGAGAATCTCCAAAGTCTGTCATATCATCCAGGACAGGGCCTAGGCCCTTCCCCATGTGTCCAGGATGAGAGAGCACCCCTCCATGTGGAATGGGCTCCCAAAGTCCATTCGTATGCCAGAGATAAATACTGATCTGAGGCCTCCTCACTGACACCCAAATTTAGTGGGTCTGGATAAGTCCCATGCTGGCCTCTCAGCCATAAGTCTGGGGTCCATGAGCTCCCCCTTGTTCAGGTCAGCTGTTTCTATGGGTTTTACCAGCCTGGTCTGCTATTTACATTTTTATGTAAATATTGTTCAAGTTTGGGTATTTTATCTGCTAGAATCCTGTTTTTCTGACTGATTCAAGATTATGATCTACAGGGGCCAGATATACAAGTACATTCCTAATATAAATGTCAAGTTAAGTATGGATTTTTGGTAACCTGTCAAAACTTTGAAGCTACAAGAATCGCATATTACAGTTTACTTCATATATGGCCCATGACTGTCATGTACAGATGTTTGTGTTTCCCTTGAGTTTCTTGTCACCCCCCTTTTACACTGTCATGTCATTCTTTGGTCTAGTATTTTTAATCGGGCTTTTCCCTCCTGAAGATTTGCCTCTGCTCCAGATCTGAGCTCTGTCTACTGGGTCAATAGCTTGGCTGCTCATGATTCATTTGTTCCTAAATCCACTGCTGTCTCTCTTCTGGAAAATGACTGTAAATTACTTGCTAAGAAAATGTTCCAGGGAAACGGGAAAGCTTCAAGCTAAGAAAGCATTCTAAGCTTTTGTGTCTCTGAAAGAAAGAAAAAAAAAGGTATTTTCTTCTGCCTTCTCACAGATGCACACTGTGTCTGACTATTGAGGCATCGAGGATTTAATGCCAGAAATGGAAAGTTTTGCCCCTTCAACAATTGATATCACTGATGTTAGCTTTAAAGTAGATCCCATTGTTTTTTCTTTATTGATGACAAGCGTTTTTCTTTTCAAGTTTTGTTAGTTTTTGTTTCTAGAAATGTTGGTGACAGATGTACACCTGGGTCATTTTTTTTTTTACTATATGGGGCACTCACCCACCCACTCCAAAGGTACACTCAAGTCAACTGTAGAAAAAAACCCTTTCCTCTGTAGGTTAGGTATTGCCTTTCCACTGCTCCTGAGGTAGAACACAGACTGGTTTGAACGCTAGGTCATTCTTCCTGCCTCAATTTTTTTTCCATTAAAAAGTCTTTCTCTTTTTATATCCTATACTCTGTGGTGATTAAAAAAACAGAAAACCAAAAAACCTTGTTGTGTTTAGTGTTTG